AACTTGGCTGCGCTTGACGAGCTGACGACTGCGCGTGAGCGAAAAGGATTTTTGGACGCGCAGGTCAATGACTTACAGCAAGCTATCACCACGCTGGAAGACGCGATTCGTAAGATCGATATAGAAACACGGGACTTGCTCACCAGTACCTTCGATAGCGTCAACCACCACTTTGGCCTGATGTTCCCTCAGCTTTTCGGCGGTGGTCAGGCCAAATTGGTTATGACGGGAGCTGAAATCTTGGACACTGGCGTACAAGTCGTTGCGCAACCGCCTGGAAAGAAAAATCAAACCATACACCTGTTATCGGGTGGAGAAAAGGCGCTGACTGCGATTGCCTTGGTTTTTGCTATATTTCAACTCAATCCGGCGCCGTTTTGCTTGCTTGATGAGGTGGATGCTCCGCTTGATGATGCAAACACTGAACGGTATGCCAAATTGGTTACCCGCATGAGCAGCAACACCCAGTTTCTCTTTATCAGCCACAACAAAATCGCGATGGAAATGGCGCAGCAACTCATAGGCGTGACCATGCAGGAGCAAGGCGTATCCCGCATCGTGGCTGTGGATATGGAATCTGCCGTTGGCATGATCGACAAGCTGGAGACAGCGTAATGGCAAGTGGCCTACTCACCGGTTTGGGTATATTGGGCGGTGCGGTTTTAGCGGGTGTTATCGCTTATAACGAATGGCAGCAACGCAAGGCTATGGTGCGCACAGTCTCTGGACAGGCGCACAAACGCGAGCCCAGCTTAAACACTGACGATGCGCAGGCGGGGCACACAGCCGCAGAATTGGCGGCGCTTAACGCCGCCTCTGTGACGCAATTGGCGCAAACCCCACGGTTAGACCCCTTGATTGACTCTGTGGTCAGTTTTGACTTGCGCCAACCCGTTTATGGCGAGGCCTTGCTCCATGCCATGCCGCCTACGCAGCGTGTAGGCAGTAAACCCTTTTTTATTGAGGCGCAAGAGGTCAATACGGGTGATTGGGAGTACCCGCGCATTGGACAGCGTTACAGTGCGGTGCAGGCGGGGGTACAACTGGCCAATCGTATGGGGGCGCTGAACGAGATTGAATTTTCAGAGTTTGTAGTCAAAGTCCAGGCCTATGCTGATGCGTTGAACGCAGAGGTGGAATTCCCAGATATGCTGCACGAAGTTGCGCGCGCGCGTGAGTTAGATGAATTTGCTAGCAGTGCCGATGCACAGCTGGAATTTCGCATTCATGCGCGAGCGGCCGCTTGGAGTGCAGGTTATATACAGCAGCATGCTCAGCAACAAGGCTTTGTATTGGGTATGCGTCCTGGGCGTATGGTTTATCACAAAGCATTGGGAGGTAGCGTGCAGGGGCATACGGTCCTGCTCACACTCAGCTTTGATACCCACGCTGCCTTGGCTGAAGATTTGAGCGAGAGTGCTGTGCGTGAAGTCTATCTACTGCTTGATGTGCCGCAAGTGCCCCGCGAGGCCCACGCTTATGAGCTGATGCGCGATCTGGCTATCAAACTCGCCGCCAGCATGGAAGGGCAAATTGTTGATGCGCAAAACAAAGTCATTACCCTCGATACGATGGAAGCGATAGGCCAAGGTCTAGAGAGCCTGTACACCAAACTCGATGCACGAGACCTATCGGCTGGCTCGCCGCAGGCGAGGCGTTTATTTGCTTGAAGGGGTTTTTTCTAAATGCCAGGAAAGTTTCAAATAGTCAAATTCACCGTGTTTATTGAATTAATGAATGGCGTGTATGGGCAGAGGGCAAGTTAAATCGAGTTGTGTGGGAATGCCGTCAGAGCGAGAGTCTTTTACCTCTAATAAAATTTGTTTGTGTTTGAACACAAATTGCACATAAGGTGGAATTTTAGGGTGTACGGTTTGTCCAAAACAGCCAGGTGTGGAAGGTGCAGAAAAGCTAACCATGCCATAGCGTTTCAAATGCTGGCACTGAACATTCAAGCTCGGGTAATGCAGGTCTGATGGGTCGTTGCTGTATGCGCCTAGGGATGTGCTGTGCCCGTCCATGGGGCTAAAAGGACTGAGCATGCTGGTCATAAGATCAGCAAAAGCTTGTGCAGTCTCTTTGGGATTGACATCCATATAGAAATCGCTTTCAAGATCAAGTTGAATACGCTCTAAAAGGGAGGGTTGGCCTGGTGTTTCATGGGTTTTACGCATATGCTCGAGTGCAGCGTGCAAAATTTCCGACATTTTCAGT